TAGTTACTCCAGATTAACCCTGGTGTAAAAGGGAACAGAATTGACCCCTTACTTCAAAGAGACATACAGGCATTCTGAGGGCCCAATTCTCCTCTTCATTACTTCGGTGTAACACTATAGGCACCAATAGCTATGCACCTGTGTAAGTGAGAGGAGACGTCAGCCTGAGTTACTAACCTTCGTGCTACGTACACAAGACCCTCTCCTCAGAAATGCAAGCACACACCCAGCTAACCTTCACCCATGTAAGCACATTCAGGCATTCGGCTATTCTGTTGCTTCCTGTATATTCGTTGGCTCCTCAAAGACCTTTATTCCACAGACCTTTATTCCTTGTGGCACTACACCCCAGAGCGCACACAAACACAAACCTGCACGCCTACAGCGAGCGGCTTCTCAAGGGCCACAAGTGGAGAGTGTCTGTTTGCAAGCAGTGAATTTTCTCCATGTTTATCCCCTGGAGGGGGTGTTTTGTGGGTTTATTGACTAAATAAGGGTATTGATTTGTTAAGAGCTTTTCTACTTCCTTTCAATGGGAAATATTGTTATCTCTTTCCTCTCCTCTGTACACAAGGTGAGAAGTTCTTTTAGTGAGACCATAAATTTCCATCTTGGCTTTTCTCTGCTGTGTAAACAAGTGTTTGCCTGTCCCTGGGGGTTAATTTGGTCATGTTAAATGTTCTGAAGATACCTCTTGGGCTCCAAGCTTGTAGACTGTAGCTCTAAGGAAAAGTCACATGCTTACATAAGACGTACCCTCCCATCACACATTCTGCATAGTTACACTGTTATCCCCACCACCGCTGACAAACCCCAGGGCACAGACAAGCAGCTGCAAAATCAGGCTCTTTTCAAAGTACACACGTGTTCTCTCGTCAGCCTTTCTTTCCTCCATACATGCACAGGTGCTCGTACATACCTTTCTCAGGGTTGCTACGTTGCGCCCTAGAAAACTCTTGTGTATCTGGTGGAGGGTCCCTGAAAAGCCATCACTGTCTCGAGAAGGGTTTGACAGCAATAGAGGTGACATTGACCGCCTCCCCTTGTGGTCTCATGACATGCAGCTGCACACGCCAGGTCTGTTACATCATCTCACCGTAACTAAATGATCTTCCCCTGGAAAAAAGCACAACCATAAAACAACAACGGTCATGCTCTGGGAATAACTCATGGTAAATGTGATTAATAATGAATAAAGGTAACATTGCCGTAATCTCCAGCCTATGGTGGAACAGTAGGTTATTGCTGATCACTAGTGTCAGCGCTACACCTATATTCATAAATGCAGTAGACCGTCCTTCCTGAAAAACAGTCACTGAAAGCTCTGGGAAGCTCCTAAATAGACGTGGTTCTAACACTAACCTACCCCTTTTCCCAAGGAGAAAATTCAGGCTTGTGAGGAAATGTACATCGCAATGTATTTTATTCGTGTCCATAGCAAAGTGGTCTCCGCCCTTTATCAGACTCTTCATGAATCTGTCTCATGAAGAGTTTTCAATGGCTAGATTTTATTGTTCTACTGTTTTATTGAAATCGGGGCCATCTATTCAAATGCAAGGCATGCAGTGATTCTAGCCAAAGCACCTCCTCATTCTCCTAACGTAGGAGTGAGCATGGAATACCCATGGTGCAAGAGGGAGAAATGCCTCTTAGTCCTCAATGCACTTTCAGGTGGAGGAGCAGATCCTAACTTTTTTGGGGTCTGTGGTTCACTCCACACACACCCAAGCCCTGATTCAGATATACATCCGAAGTCCTGTCTTCCTACCACACTAGGTTCCTTCTTGGGCTAATTCAATGTTTCTCAAGATTATGACAAACAGGAAAGCCACAGTCCAACTCTGAAACAAACCATTTTAATCTGTTGGGATGCCAGATGAGATTACAGCAAGTCCCATTAAGCTTCCGTGAGCCATATCAGGCTTCAGTGGGCTGTGCCAGAACTGGACGGTAAGCCATAGCACGACTTAATGGGCTGTGGGTTGTACCAGCAACGTGTGTCATAACAGATCCCACTGGGCTGTGTCAGCTCCGTTTACCAGAGCAAATCCCAGGGGGCTGGGTGAGATTTGAACTTCATGTCATACATTTCATTTACAGAGCATTGCATAGCTGTGCGAGTCCCACTTGTTCAATTGGGGAGCTTGATAGCTAAAACTTCATGCAACACTTTGGAAATTCACTCCACTATCTTGCATCAGTGGAGAGCCTACTGGGCTGTCAGCATTATGGCTCCCAGGAGGGCTGGCTGTAGAGGCACCATCTTATTGGCACAAGAGGTCTTGTGAAACTGTATAAAATGCATCACAGAAGGTCCTATAGCGCTGTGTCATTCCCAATAGGCAATGCAAACACAGCTCATGCCTTGTAGAAGCTATTGGGCTGGATCAACATTATAGGCGCAATCTTGGCTTGACTGAAGTCAATGGCAAAACTCCCATTGACTTCAGTGGATCCAAGACTTTACCCCTTACGTCTCGGGCGTGCATAGCCCATTAGTAACATCAACATGGTGTGCTGGAACAGATCCCACATTGACCTGTGTCTAAACCAAATATTCATCTCTGTGGTCTGTAGCAGCACCATATTGCATCACAAGTGTTGCTAAGCCATGCCAGAATGGGAATAGGTGCCACAGAAGGAAAAGTGACCTGTACTGAGGTCTGAACTGTATTACCACTGTCACCACATGATAAGTCAGGCCTAGATTCCATGTCACAGTAGACTCATAGAATATTAGGGTTGGAAGGGACCTCAGAAGGTCATCTAGTCCAACCCCCAGACAGATTTTTACCCCAGTTCCCTAAATGGCCCCCTCAAGGACTGAACTCACAACCGTGGGTTTAGCAGGCCAATGCTCAAACCACTGAGCTATCCCTCCCCTCTGGTTCCAGTGGACTAGATGAGAATTCTGATGGGGAGTGTGTCATATGCTAGAGGGTTGTGAAAGACTCAGTGGCCTTTCATGGGTGCAAAGGAGCAGGGCTAGTTCTATGGGCAGGCAATCAGAGTCAACCTGGGTACCAATCTTCAGGGGACACTGCCACTCAGGTTGTTTGGTGGGTCTTTTTGTTTTCTTTTTTCTTCACTGATTGGCCAACTGTCATCGTTGTTGTGGGA